TGTGTGTGTGGCGTGAATCCATCCGCCATCTCTGGCCCTACTGGGTCTTCAAGCCATTTCATTGGCGAAGTGCACGGAAACCAAGGCAGTGACCTGAAACCAAGGCGCTCGGTAGATGTGCATCGCTACTAGGAGCAAGATGTGATACACTTCGATAAAAGCATCGATATTCTTTGATAAAGACCACAGAAGCTCACGTTCCAGGAAACAAGTCAAGATCAATGTCAAACCCCAAATCTGAAATGCATGAGATCCGTGTGGTTTGACATGATCCATGTTCGACAGCCAACATTTGCATCCTGTGTCCCTGGCCAAAAGTACTGCTGGTGTCACAGTCAACTGCACTGCGTCCGCCACGTCGGCTCTGCTGCGGAGGGCTCCCTGTTCGGTATTCAGTCAGCCAAGCCCATTTGAAAACTCAACTTCTGAACACTTGTTTTACATGTGCAAGACAAAACATACCAATGAAGGCAGAAAAAATGGCAATAGGTTTGATATCATGTGGTGCTAATTTGGTTTTCAGTTATTCTACCGATTGGAAAGATATCTTTGCGATTCAAAGTGTGCTTTTGTGATTGCACAGAAGCTGCTTACTGGCACAGCAACAAGCATAACATTATGGACCGTGTGTTTTTGGAACAGGGCGAAACTTGAAAAACACAAGAGAAAATAATGACAAATCTGTGGATTCCAGACTTCCAAAACCCTGTGAAACTAGCAACTTTCCGCAAAGGACTACTCAGATTGGGGATGCATTTCCCTGGAAAGCCATACGCAGCTTGCTTTCGGCTTACAAGAGAAAAGCAAAAACAAAAGTACAAAGTCGTACAGACGCATTATCAGTCGACATGAGTGCCAGGATCAAGCAGCCATTCTTCGGAATACCATGGAATACCCATGTGGAACGGCAGTACTTTTTCGGCCGATGGGTGGGCTGAAGCATGGAGAACTTTTTGAACTTATCCGTGGCAGCGCCGCTCTGGGAAAAGACATGTTCCATCTAGAAGCACTGGGACCTAATCCAAACTGGACGTTCAAAGGCTTGGTGGGCCCACAGCCGCACATTTATCAAAAAACTGAGTAGGGCTTCTCTGGACCTATATAATGTATTTGTGATATATCTGTTCGAGTCAGAATACAAAAGACACAACAAGCAGTGGACCCCAAGATCACTCCTACATGGATTCAGACCAAAACGGTCAACAGCTCACGCCATGTATACAATGATTGGTCAGAGCAGAAGGGAATTGATTCGTTCATGGCACTTCTTGATTGAGAGAAGGCTTTTGACAGCATTTGGCAAGGCACATTTAACTGGATGTATAGACTTGCACTTGGACTGTCGGACCAGGTCGTCTCAATAAACAAAGCTCCGTGCTATGACTAGTCACCGACCTTTTGTGCAAGACGACTACGGGCTTCATCGAAAACAACAGAGCACTGAGAAGCGACAAGCAAGTCCTTTAAGTCCTTACGGGTGTGTGTTCGTAATGACATCAAAGGGCTGGCCGTTGGTTCTTTTGGTCTGCTGTATTCTCGGTGAGACTTCTGTGCTGAGGTCTAATGGTTCAGGTCCTTCCCAAGTATGTGGGATGTGATCTGGAATGAAAACAAACGTGCGCTACATATTTATGGAGTTATATTAGCCTGTATTGATCTGTAGGGTTCCAAGCAGCCTTCCATGTGTTTCAAATGGTCATTGAGACCTTGCACCTTTGTCGAAAAGGAGCAAAATCGTGTGATTTGTAGACCAGTATGAAAGTCGACTCCTAAAATTCGAGCATGTGTCATGTCACTGGAACATCTGAGGAACAGGCTGAATACAAGAGTTAAATAGAATTAACCCTAGTGTTAATGCTTTAACTTTTACCCCTGTTCAACCTGTAACTCTAGAAGAATTAACTCTGGAGATAATTCTGTCAACTTTGCCACTTGTGCAAATAGAGAATTGATTCTGGAGTTAATTGTGTTTCACTGCGTCTCCTTGCGTCCTTCTCATTGTCTATCTCTTTCGTTTCTTTTCTTGACCTTTACAGTAGTTGTGTTGATCTTTGATTAGAAAGATAAGAAGGTGGGAAAAAGTAGCCACCAAATTGAGCTCTGGAGTTGGATATGTTTAAATCAGTCTCCTGGTTTCCTCCTGTTTTGTCTTTTGCTTCTCAACCTGTATGTGGCTTTATTCAGTTGCTATTCAGCCTCTTCGTGAACTTGCTGCGTACTATCGTAGTGGCGATCCATCATGCAACCATCTTGTAACCAAACCTCACAATCACAGTACAAGAAAAGACTCACAAGTACATCAGACAAAGAATTCACTCTGAATGAACTTCCTTTTCAAGCAGTACAGGTGGCAGGAAAGGAATTAACTCTGAATGCAATTCTTTTCAAGGGGTCCAGAAGGGGTCCGATACAGAAAGAAACAATAAAGAATTAACTCTGGAATTGTTCCTGGAAGAAGCAGGAGTGACAAAAAGAATTAACTTGGGAGTCAATTCTACGAAGGCGCGTGCTGATCTGTTCCCCAGGACAAAGAATTAACACCACAGTTAGAAAATAACTCTGGTATTCACTCCATTTCAACATCTGAAAATAACATAAGCGTTGACTCCAATGTAGACTGTTTCAAAAACTGCGACTTCTGGTTTAGGACGCCGTCATCAAAGATTATCTACAGTCTTGAAACCATTTATGTAGGATTTTTTAGGCTCCTTCCACTTGAGGGGGCTGCACCAGATTCTTGGACTATCCGCTACACATGTGCAGGTGTGAATGGCCTTTCCCAGTGAGCAGCGGACTGTTAGACGGTTTGCTGAACTGGATGAGCAAGTACTGAGAACTGATAGGGACCCTCACCGATGGATCTATAGCTTTAATCGTTGTGGCATTAACACTGAAGGGAGGATACCGTGTATACCTGTATCATGTATTGTATATATTATATATGTGCATATAAATGTGCATATCATATATATATATATATCACTTTCTTTTAGATTGGGTACCAAATGACGGACATTTTGTGGAGTTTGGCGCATGAATGGGGAGTCACTATTCAGGCACAAGAGAATTGTGGAGAATCTTATCCTAAATCAAACATAGTATAGTCATCCTCGTATTTGTTCCATAGTTTGTTCCCATCTCACTCTGCTCTCATGAATTTGATTTGTCCGGTCCTATCCAATTTCTGCGCTGGTTAGTTACATTATATACTCACACCGACTCTCCTTTGGCTACTCTTCCTTTCAAAAAAAGTATCTGGCAAAAGGAGTGTGATGTAAAGCATTGGTAGGAACAGGCGACCTAACTACAAAGACCAGGAGCTTCCTACCAAGAAAGCCAAAACACAAAAAAGAGAAAACCGAACATGATGAAGGAATGGGTCTTTTTAGACAAGACTTGTCCGAACGTGTCTAAAATCTTCTAGGATCGGTGCCGATCAATCCTCAGTCTTGCATCTGGTCTAGAGTCTGAGTCCACTCCTTTCTTCACTCCTTTCGTTTGCCAGATCAGTCTCCAAAAAGGGAACAAATGGTCAAACATCAACAGACAAGAAATCGGTCAGCAAAAGGCAAGCCAATGGAAAGGAAACAACATGTTGGGCCAACGGGGGGGTTAGCCCCGCCGGCAACATATATCCGATCCGTTGACTGGTCTTTCGGGGTGGGGGGGGGGGGGGGGGGTTGGGGTCAGCTTCGTCCGTGTTACTACTCGCGTACATCGACTTTGACGTTGATTTGTCGACTCGGTGACCTTTCGTTCGCTGGGTAACCGCTTTTCTTGGCTTAGAGGACATGACGGGCTCGACGTTCGAGGTTTGTTTTGCACTGCGTAGAAGGGGTCTTCTTGGCCATTGCGATGCAAAGCTGCAACAACAGCACGTTGAAGGCCTCTCAGCATTGTGGTTCCGCCAACATCCAGGGTTGGACTCAATGCTCGAGGCTGTCAGAATACATAGAGAAGCTGTGCAAGACACTTGCCCGCCAGCTCAAATGTACAGTGAGCTCAAATGGCTCAATTGGGAACAAGACTGATGTCTGGCAGCTGGAAAATGAGCCTTGGCAAGCTATATATGGAGCAGGCGGGTGGGTTGGGTCCGTCAAAACGCACTCAACCTTATCATGTTGCAACTCATGAGTTGCAAGACGATAGGTTGAGTGTCCGGAAAGCCACCAAGCCCTGTAAAACACACGGTTTTTTCACCCTCGGTGTGTTGCATTCGGGGCTAACCGCCCCCCCGTTTACCCAACATGTTGCAGAAAAAAAGGAGAAAAAGTCATCAGTGGTTTCAGGAGGAAAAGAATTGAAGTTTGTATCAGGAAAACAACAAAGGTGTAAGGATGAGTTGGGATAAAACAAAATGAAACTTCCACAATAAGAGACTAGGGGTGGAGCAAGTCGAAGCTTTGCAACGTTAGTGCGTAGTAGATTGAAAGCTACATGAACTCAAAACTGTTGACTGTGGTTGAGCAAAAAGATGCAAAAACATATATAGATGTAGTAAAAACACAACAAGTTGGATGTCCTCGCCAACATTGGCTTCACACATCAAATGAGCCACGGTCAAAACGTGTTATTTGTCTAAAAGAACGAGCATTATCGGTTTTGATTTGGACCTTATCGTTTTTCAGTGTTGTGAGTTCGCCACATACTGATGGTATACAGTGCTGGGGGTTATCGGTTTTGGAGTGGATACAGAGTATGATGGCGTACCAAAATCACAAAGAGCAAAACAGACTCGGATGAGTCCCTAACACCAAATTGTCCGAGCACCAAAAGCATGTCAAGGAAAATCGGTCGTCCGTGCGCTGTCGTGCCTTGATGACAGCCGTCAAAGGGGACAACACCTGGGCAACACGATCTTGGTGCTCTGGATCTCATCCACATCCAAAACTTAAGCACCAAGAGTTGATGCACCAATGAAACCATGAAACCTCCCTGAGTTGAAGAGAGCCAACAACATACAATAAATTACCTAATTAATCCCAAGATCTCACAAATACACTGGCACGACAAAGGAAGCGACCGTATCAAAGGCACGCCCTTGGCTTTGGGGTTTCTCTGCGTTTCCCTCACAATTGACTCGCTTTTTTCAATCGCAACAATCAGTGTCTCAAGGCCCGCTTCACTGCATACAACACGTGTCCTTCACTCTGCTTCCCAAGCTGAAGGAGCTTCTCCCTAACCTGTCTTGCAGAAAGAGACCGTGGAAACGCAATGAACATGATCAAGTGCTTGAACTGCTTGGTAACATGGCTGGCGGTCTTCTTTGATTACCTTCAAGTGAGATGTCATTGCAGATAACCCCGGTGCTCTTGAATCTTGGTACAGCGGCCTGATCGCGGTACCTCAGCAGCACCTTCTTCTCAGCAGCTGGGGCTGCTTGCACATCACGCAGCAGGGCAGCACGTAGTTTGGCAAGCTCCTATCACTGTGACAAGACGGCCTCAGAAATAGAACTTCAGAGTTCCCAACAAAGAGACAAGCCTTGAGAAAAAATTGAAGACATTACAGAAGTGTCTTCCTACTTTTAAAGAGATTCAGATGACTAGGTCAAGGTCAGTGTGTGCAAGCAAAGCTGGTTGTCCTGTGGAAGGGCCCAGTGAGACCATGAGAAACATGAAACCACTTTGTCTAAGTGTACAAAGTATACATTTTGTTTGGGGAGGCGGTGCAAGCACTAGGCCATGAAGACTGCGGGTAGGATAGGCGAGGTAGGGTAGGCAGCTAGTCGGAAGTTGCACTGAGAAAAAGGACGCAAGCTAGCTGTTAGAACATGCAAGGATGTAGATGTTTCAATCAAACTTCTCCCGCTTGATTGCTTCCTGAATCCGCATGGTCGAAATGGGATCTAGATGTTTCGAGAAAACCTGAGGATGAAGTTGTGAACAACTGATCATCTCCTCCACACGGCCGACGGTGGCATAGCCTTTGTCGCCCAAGGCTGTTTTGGCTGCTAAACGTACTCGAGCAGAATCAGAGAGCCGGCGCATCCTGAGTGTGAACAAAATATGATCTTGCAAGCTTTGACCGAAGTAGCGATGTTTTTCCCACTTGGTTTAAACTGTGTCTATGAACAGCTTGAAATCTCTAATTCCACTATTGCAAGCTAAGTGATACAAACACCTCTGTCAGATCCAACTATACTAACACCCTGCATAACTGCACAGTAGCTCTCATGAAGAAACCTTTCGCTTTACATGCTTATATGATATTGTATACACTCTTTTGACTATTGAAGCTCAGGCTTCGGATTTTTTACGCTTCTTGCTTAAACTTCACCGCATCGTGGACGGATTCCCTTTTTGGCTGTCAAGACGTAACTCCACCTTCGGACGCAAGGAGGAACTCAAAGGGCGCTGCAAATGCAACCAGGCAACCTTTGAGCCGTGGGCACGGCGCTGAAAAAAGGATTGAAAAGGTTGCTTTTCTTTATTCTCCAGATAGCTGAAAGCAAAGCATCTGAAAGCTATAGCTATAGGGGTTCATACTTCTCAATGACTGGGTGGCTGATGGGCGTTTTGGTCCACAGCTGCCGCTGCTGCCTTGTCTCCCCACTGTCTCCTTGCATGTCTCCCCAGTGGTCTGCCTGTGTTGGAGTCACTTGGAGAGGCACTGTTGGGCTCACTCAAGGTCGGAAGCTCAAGCTCGCTATTTTGTTCTGAATTACTTGATTTTTGGTCTACCAGATGTCTATAGCCTATAGGTCTCTGGTTTTAGAGTTAGTTGCTGTCTGGGGTACATACCGGTGTAATGTTTTTCCGGGCTTCAGTATCTTCCATCAGAAAATGTTGCAAAGTTGAAGACTCCCTGAGTTAGGATAGTCTTAGTCGTATGTCATAGCCATAAAAGAACGCTTGTGCCTTCACCTGTCCCTTTTCGATGTCTCTCAGCGACTCGCATCTCTCATCCGCTTCACTCCGGTGCACAACCGACGCCTCTTTTGGTCTCTCAGTTCTCTCTCGTCGGCCACTTTGTCCGATAAAGAAAGCTTCAACCTCTCGTTCACGCTGCAAATGCTCGACGACTTTGCTTGGGACCCGAGGGATCACCAAATGCACAATGCCAAGCACCAAGACCTGGAACATTCAGCATTCCACTGGAGTTCGACTCATCGTATGGATGTGTCTCTGATGGATTCTGCAGTGTTCCGTGTGCCTGTTTGATCATGCCTTCCAAGCATGTTCCTGCGCCTTTGCGACTGCTTCGACTTCGTTTGGGTGCGGCACACAAAGCGACGGAACAAAACAGAGAGGTTTCGTTCAGACCAAGACTGCCAAGTGGCCATAAGTAGCATGGCAGTGCTGAAGAAGGCAATATGCACGGCCGGCCCCTGTCCGGCAAAGCGAACTACCTTGCTACTAGTAGCTTCTTGCTAGTAGCAAGGTGCCTTACTACTACTAGCTTGTTACTTTACTAGTAAAGCACCTGACCTTGCTATTAGTAGCACTCCCGACTCAGAACAATAGAACCACCCAAAGGAAAACACGCGTGCATGAGCCTTTCGTCATGGCGCCTCTCCAAAGATATTGACCACCAGGTTGGTGCGAAAGGCGACAATTGCCAAATTGAAGAGCCTTTTTCAAAGGTTTTCTCTGTGCAAATAGGACATGTGTGAGTCAACGTATCAAAGTCAGCTTGGAGACGCTCCCACGTAGACATAGGACTGAAAGATGGCCATCCAGGCTTCAGGCAATCCATGTCCAGCTCGTGGCTGAGGTTGTCTTCGATCTAAAAGTTGAAAGAAATCCATCTGGAATTCGACCAGCAAGTGCCTTAGTATTTCCATCCCCGTGCAAATTCTGGGGGTCCATACCCCCAATTTTTAGATATAAAACGGTGGAGCCAACCCCCAGAGGTACTCTAATTTGAATAACCTGACCTCCAGAGCATTTACATAAAATGACCTCACCTGACGTTGAATTTCATATGTGACTGATCACAAATCAGTGGTACTGAGTGCTTGACAAAGCGCCTTTTTCTTTTTCAAACGCCAAGTATGTCTGCTTGGCATCCCAAAAGCTTCCAAGTATGTTTTGATCTTTGAAGATCTTGGTCCCTAACATTTTATTATGATGTTTCTTGTTGCTTCCTCTGGCTTGCCGTTTTCCTGGTGCTGAAACTCCAGTGGAAACGCAGCGGCGACTTTCCGGATATAAGACGCTCATGTCAATCGCTTGTTCAGCAACGTGTGTATGTGAACTCGGACGCAATGCTTTTGTTCCAAGTCCACAAAGGCATGGGGTCAGTGAACCTGGATCTGTAACAAGCTGAACAAAGCAAACTTCGAGCTCGACCCACAAAAGGGAGGAAAAACACAAAGACCCAATTCGCTTGGATCATTTAACACATCCCCTTCAAAATCCCTTGAAAGCTGAACAGCGTGCAGCAAAGTTGAAACACTTGGGATGTTCATCCGCACGACAGGCGCGCCGACTGGCCTGTCCACCCCGAGGATGAGCATCCCCAGGGTGGTGTGGGCGGGTGCTTTCAACCTGGCGATACGTCGAGTGGCGACTTTTCGCCAAAATGGCAGCGATACAATCGCACTAACTGAAAAA